ACCTTGGCAGTGTCTGCGCGCGTGCCACCTCTGATGTTTGCCTGTGTCTTCATAACTCCTATAAAATAACAAAAACATGAACGTGAACATCAATATTAAAATATTTAATTTTTTATAACCACGAAGTAATGATCAAAATTCGCAATCAACCAAAAACAAAATCCCACTTAAAATGAAATACAATAAATATAATGAGGTTTACCGAACGGACTTTCTCCATTCACATCACCAACTCTATATCATAATTCCCGCGCTGCGTCCAGAACCACGTCTCCAAGTTTCGTGTAGGTTGTTTGTGTGATGGTAAGAGGTCCTCCAACACCATGGTACTCTGCAAGATTATATGTAGATATTTTATAAGAACATGATGAAACGCAATACAGGCACACCTACCTGCCTGAGTGACCTGTTATATTACTATTATAGTAACTTGACATAAACAGATCATGTAATTACCTTCATTCTGCGAAATCAATCTCTTTAAAAAATTCTCTACGGGTATGCTTAAACTCATCCATATCTCCACACTACATCACTCACACTGACACACACTGCATCCTCATTGCCACGTACCGTTATAATGTAAAACATTGAAATTTATTAAACCTACCCGAATCTTTTAACTCAGGAATCTGCATATCCTCGGACTTTTTAAAGTATGGAAGTACGTCGTTATAACTCCACCCCGTTGCTCCCATCTTTTGCCATCTATCGTAATTTTTCGCTGCACCTCGGATGTATACCATGCCGTTAATGCAACTGGTGCCCCCGAGTACTTTTCCTCTTGGCCACATGCTTTGCTATACAATTTAAATACATTACACTCGAGCACGATTCATATCAAATGAATGCAGTCGTCGAATCAAAACCATCGCGACAACAACTTCGGATAGCATAGCAGTTCGGTGTATAAGATTCATGGATTTTCATTTATGCCGGATTCATGTCACATTATATGTCGTGGATATCCATATATAGGCCTACTATAGTGCAATTTTAATGAGAATATAGGCAATCTAGGCTAATATGGGCGAACACACGCCAAAGCTACTATAATATCTCTACATCTGATAAAGATCTAAAGACTCAATGTTTGTCGCACACTAAACATTTATTGCAGTTGCTTCCACTCTTCCCGGTTACAAATAACGCGGATATTACACAAAGACATTACATCTCTCCTTTTGTTTGAAAACGGTCTCGATGCTGTCTATCCATGAAAATGTACATTGCTGTCTTACATGGTTATCTTACTCGGTTATATCTGAACATACTACCAATACTGAATAAATGTTGTGGTACGTTAATCAAATGTAGTAACACATTGTGGTACAATCTCTCAAACTTATCCTAGCTATAAACACACTATAATTTTAACAATCATATAATACGGTTCTGATTCAATTTTAATTCAGTTTAGATTCTCAATGCCGAAGTTAAAGCAGTGCTCGAAATAAGCGTTGTCCGGTTGTCCGAGACAACCACAATTTGCGCCGGACAACCCACCAGTCTGAGACATTGTCCGGTGGACAACCAAGAAACACTATCCCTAACCCTAACACTGACTCTAAACCGACTCGGCTATCTCATATATACGCGTGGTACCCAATTAATCTATGGTATATAACCTTTTG